GCTGTGTCCATAATTCACCCCCGGATTCGAAAGAAGGGGGTGCGGACACTTGGCACGAGCCCTCGGGTGAAGTCGGCTCTTCCTGATGCTGTCTCCAATCAGCGCACTGGCTCGCTTTAGCTCGAAATATATAATTGGAAATATATAATTGGAAAGAAGCTAAAGCACATACATCAAGCGAAGATCGGGAGTTAAGACTGCTGATTAATGGATTTCTGTGAGCGGAGCAACGGGCGGGACAAATAAATCAAGTGATGAATCACCATTAAGAGACTGGTATGTTTGGAGTGAAACAGAAAGGGGGTGGAGGAAAAAACTTTTCTTTTTTTTGTCTTATGTGAGTATTAATAACCCTACACCCCAGAGAGAAGAATCGTTGCATTTTATTAATCACAAGCAGGAATTTAAGAACTGTGTGGAGTGAATTATTGATCAAAGAGAGGACTGGTAAACATCGGAGAACGGAGGAAAGTTTTATGACACAGTTTTAAATGGCGTCTCGCCAAGACAGGCTTGCCTAAGAAGGACGGGGGGAGGAGGACCAGGGTCATCGGAATGTGAATGATGATTGGAATGTGATCGAGACCTGGCAGAGCCCTCTGAGATATGCTTGGCAAGCCTGGGAAAATTAACGGACAGGCAGAGGGAAAGTTCTTTACGGAGGTGTGGAAATTGCGTCTGTCCCTATGTGATATGATTTTTGGAGAGTGTAAATCCCACACAGAGGATGTTTGTTTTCAACCCGCTTGTGAAGATTATCATAAATCGCAAAGAAAGGAATATATGATAACAACAAGAAGATGAAGAAAGTAATAAAGAGACTATCTGGACTAAACTGGATAGAACTGTCTAATTAAAGCAGCAATATAAGTGATGCTTGGACCCCTGTTCGGAGCTTGAAGTATGGGTACCCCCAACAAAAATTTAAAAATCTGGCTGTATAATTTGGAACTAATGTGATTTGGAAATAATGTGGTTTGATTGGCCTGTTAATAAAAATTATATTTAAAATAAATAAATAAAACAACTACCCACCCAAGGAGGCCACAGATAATTAAAAGGCCTGTGGAAAATAAATGTTTTTGCCTGGTGCCTAAAGATGCATTGCAATGGACGCGGGTGGCGCTGTGGGTTAAACCACAGAGCCTAGGACTTGCCGATCAGAAGGTCGGCGGTTTCAATCCTCGCGATGGGCTGGGCTGAGCTTCCGTTGCTTGGTCCCTGCTCCTGCCAACCTAGAAGTTCGAAAGCACGTCAAAGTGCAAGTAGATAAATAGGTACCGCTCCGGCGGGAAGGTAAACGGCATTTCCATGCGCTGCTCTGGTTCGCCAGAAGCAGCTTAGTCATGCTGGCCACATGACCTAGAAGCTGTACGCCGGCTTCCTCGGCCAGTAAAGCGATATGAGCGCCGCAACCCCAGAGTCGGCCACGACTGGACCTAATGGTCAGGGGTCCCTTTCCCTTTAAAGATGCATTGCACAAGTGCAGAGCCCCTTCCGAAAAGGTCCCATTCTCATGTTGCCACCTTCTGGACCTCCCATGGAGAGGGCAGAAGGAGGGCGACTCTTATGATGACCACATATTCCAGGAAGGGTCATATGGGGAGTGGTAGTCCTTGAGGTACTGGGGTCTTGAGCTGCAAATGGCTTTACTTTGAATTAGGCCCAGTGGCTAACTGGTAGCAGTTGAGCCAGGATTTGTGTTATATGCTGAGACTGTCTTGCCCCAGTGAGCAACCTGGCCTCTACACCAGCTACAGTTTCCAAACTGTCTTCAAAGGTAAAGGTGACCCCTGACCATTAGGTCCAGTCGTGGCCGACTCTGGGGTTGCGGCGCTCATCTCGCTTTATTGGCCAAGGAAGCCGGCGTACAGCTTCCAGGTCATGTGACCAGCATGACTAAGCCGCTTCTGGCAAACCAGAGCAGCGCACGAAAACACCGTTTACCTTCCCGCTGGAGTGGTACCTATTTATCTACTTGCACTTTGACGTGCTTTCGAACTGTTAGGTTGGCAGGAGCAGGGACTGAGCAACGGGAGCTCACCCTGTCGCAGGGATTCGAACTGCCGACCTTCTGATCAGCAAGTCCTAGGCTCTGTGGTTTAACCCACAGCGCCACCCGTGGCCCACTTCTTCAAAGTTAACCCCATATATAACACATTGCAGTAATCTAACCTCGAGGTTGCCAGGGCATAGGAGACAGAAGTTAGGCTATTCCAACTTCTTAGTAAAAGAAACCAAAATGAGATCTCCTCTTGCTGTGGTGTAGCATTCAGAGTTGCCAACTTGAATGAAATATTGGGGGAGGCAGGTAAGCCCCAACTCCACATAATCAGTCACATGGCATGGTGCATACACAACATTTGAATGGCAATACCCATCAACTTGGGTGGGTAGCCCCCTCAAATATTTTATTTGGGAGGCTGAAGAATTCTCAGCTCATAGGAGTGTTGGCTCCTATGGCAGCATTAATCTAGAAGAGGCTTCACAAATCTTGTTTTGGACTTCAATTCTCATCAGCCCCAGTCACCAGAAACATATGATGCTGGCCTATGGGGCTGATGGGGGCAGGTGCCTTGCAGAAGTTAGTAATGACCAAGAGGATCCAACTTGGGACAGAGCTTTGCCAGAAAGCCAGCACACTTTGCAGCCTTCATCTCTCTGTTATGCATAGGAAGGGCAGCATTACGTTTGAAAACACATTGTCATTCTTTTTAGTTTAAGACCATCATGAATTCCAAGAGTGTCTCACAATCAGCTCTGCAAATTGCAATAACCAGGAGAATTCAACAAACAGGGGAAAGGGTGTTTTTTTCGGAGGAAGGGGAGAGAAATCCCCCAACTTTGATTTTTTTAAAAAACAAACAAACAAACACAATCTGTATGTTCATCAGAATCAAAATCTCTTTAGAGTTGTGTTTGGTAAGTCTGAGGTATCTAACAGATGGCAGGACGCTGCCAACTTAACACTGTTGATCTGTTCATACATTATGCATCTTTTTTGATGGGAATTTCAATTTGTTTGTTCCCAAGTGGGAAAATTCCATTATGCAGATGTAAGAAGCAAAAAAGAAAAGAGGAAAGAGCAACAGAGATGGGGGGGTGGGAGCAAGGGAGCACCTCTCTCTCTCTCTCCCTCTCTCTCTCTCTCTCTCTGTGTGTGTGTGTGTGTGTGTGTGAACAACCTTGCAGAAGGGGGAGGAAGCAAGAAACAGATAAACTATCTGTGTTTATAACCTGAATTAAGGATGAGGAAGGGTGGTACAGCTATAGCTGTTAAACAAAGCTTGGGTTTTTGTTTTTTTTACAGCTAAAGAGACTTCTTCAGTTGTTGCTGGTGACTAGAAGATGCTTACATAAGATTAATGGGCCCTGAAGTCTGGTGGCTACTAGTTATTGGATATGCCCCATCAGAACTAAAGAGTCCAAAATTCTGTTTTCAGTAATGGCAAAGCAGATGCCTCTGGAAAGCCCACAAACAAGACATGCCAGGCAGGAAAGAACCTTCCCCCATTCTATTTCACTTTTCACTAAGCACTTTTACACTCAGCATCTCCTGCCTCCGGGTTCCATACCAGAGTGAGAGGCAGTTATTAAGATGATCTGTGAGTGAAGCTCACTCCTCACGGGCCGTGGGGGGAGCTTGTAAGAACAATTACTCCCAAATCATCCTTGTTTTCCTCCACAAATGGTCTCCGCTAGCGTGTGAACTGCATCCATTTAAGGCAGGAAGTACCGGAAGTTGTTGCTGTGGCCCAAGGATTCAGTTGTAAGCTTTTCAGGGGCAGACCCAAACACAACAAGCATGGCACCCTCATTCACCAGCACGGGGCAAAGGCCACTTGGAATTTCTCTTGTGTGGACCGAGTTGAAATGAATGAGAGTTGTGCAGTGGCATGATAGCCATCAATCGGAGAGTGTCTGTGAACATGTGCAGAGTCCCCTCACCTCTGGATTCCTCTATATCTAGGGTTGCAGGGCATAGGCCAGGACCTGAGAGAAAAGACAAGGTGGTACCCTTCCCATTTCCATGCCTGAATCCAACTAGATTGGCAGCTGAGTCTTACTTCAAGAGTAAGTAAAGGTAAAAGGTAAAGGGACCCCTGACCATTAGGTCCAGTCGTGACCGACTCTGGGGTTGCGGCGCTCATCTCGCTTTATTGGCCGAGGGAGCTGGCGTTTGTCTGCAGACAGCTTCCGGGTTATGTGGCCAGCATGACTAAGCCGCTTCTGGCGAACCAGAGCAGCACACGGAAACGCCATTTACCTTCCCGCTGGAGCGGTACCTATTTATCTACTTGCACTTTGTGCTTTCGAACTGCTAGGTTGGCAGGAGCTGGGACCGAGCAACGGGAGCTCACCCCATCGCAGGGATTCGAACTGCCGACCTTCTGATCGGCAAGTCCTAGGCTCTGTGGTTTAACCCACAGCACCACCTGCGTCCCTCCAAGAGTAAGTAACCATACCTCAAATGTTGAAGGAAAAGACAACCATCCAACCGCTGCTTAAAAACCTCCAATGAAGGAATGGGAGGCCATTCCACTGTTGAACAGCTCTTGCCATCAGAATGTTCTTCTGTCACAATCTTCTTAGTTGTAACTTGATGTCATTGATTTGGGTTCTACCCTCCAGAGCAAGAGAAAACAAGGTTGTTACCTCTTCCATCCCTTTTGATACCTGAACACAGCTATGTGTTCTCCTCTCAGTCTTCTCTTTACCAGGCTAGACATACCCAGCGCCTTCAAGTGTTCCTCATAAGGCTTCGTTTCCAGACCCTTGATCATCTTGGTTGGCACATGTTCCAGTTTGTCAATGTGGTGCCCAGAATTGGGTGTGATCTGGCCAAGGCAGAATACAGCAGTACTATTACTTCCCTTCATCTTTGCATTATACTTCTGTTGATGCAGCATAGAACCACATTGTCTCCCCCCCCCTTTTTTTTTTTGCTGCTGCCTCACACTATTGCACCCCCGGTTTTTTATTTTTCTGTTCTGCTGCAGGTTGATGAGCAATTATACCAGCTCCAGCATGAGAAAGCGGATCTCCTCAAGCGCATTGATGAAGACCAGGAGGATCTGAATGAACTGATGGCCAAGCACAAGGCCTTAATTGCTCAGGTAAAGTGGGGGGTGGGTGGAGAGGGAGGTGCACCCTTCAGAGTGGCCTTGCCTTATTTGGGGTGCTTGGACCAGCAGCCCTGGTTGTCCAAGCTGCTTCAGAGGGTCTGCTGGACTTCCCACAGACTCAGACCACTGCCGTGCCTGACATTCCACCAACTCCGCTTGCGGAGGTTCCAGCCACAGCAGCGGATCCAGGGGACTTGGTTTCAAGGCCACCTAGGGTCGCTCCACAGCCTCAGCAAGAATCGGGCAGCCCACCAGACCTGGGTACCGCTCCCCGGCAGTCTGGCAGAGTTTCCAAGCGCCCAATTTATTTAAAGGACTATGTTGTTGGGCATGTAATACTGTTGGTCTAATGGAAGTATGTGAAATGTAACCGATATGCTTTTGTGCCTAATTCAACCACGTGTAGTGCTGTATATAAGAAAACCATTACGATTGTAACTAACCCCTTATCTCGGTGGGGAGGGGTGTTATGTACTGAAGTTCTCACCCTGGGCCAGCAGGGGGATACTGTAGATAGTTATGCAAATAAGGGATCGAAAGTGACGTTCAGTGATTGGATAGTTTTAGAAAGTTGTTACAATTATGTGTACTGGAGCTCTATATAAGCAGGCTGACTGAACCCTTCAGCTCAGTTCTGTTCTGGCCTCTGAATAAACAAGAGCTGTTTGAAGAATCACTGTGTAGTCTGATATGTTTACCCACATCTTAACACTAAACATAACCCTAAACGAAACAAGACCCTAACGCTAAGCCTCTGCCTAACCCTGACCCTGACAACCCCTTCATCTTACCCTTACCTTCTCCCCTAATTCTAACCCCTAACCTTTTCCCACTAACACTAACCCTAACCATCTTCCCCCAACCCAAACCCTCTTCCCATAACCCTAACACCCTAACCCTAAACCATACACCCTAAGCCTAAGCTTCACCCTAACCCTAATGCTACCGCTAACACTAACCCTAAACAAAACAGAACCCCCAACCCAACCTTAACCCTAACCCTAAACAAAACAAGATTTCTGATTTCTGTGATTCTAATGGTATTGTGTCAATTTTATGTTATTAATAATTTCAAAAATGAAGCAAATCACTCCTAACCAAGGAAACCCTGGAGGAGACACAAAAACAATGAAAAACTATCACCATAATGACAAATTCACCACAAAACTTGAAAGAAGCAGAAGAACCCAAAACAAAGAAGAAACATCAGAATCATTATAACCAATTGAGGTGAAGCAGAATCACCCTTATAATTGAACAAACAACACCAAGAAAAGCAAAATCACTAGAAATATGACTTGTACACAATACATAGCAGATAAGTTTTCACTGGTTTGGTTGTTTCTGGTGGAATTGCTTTTCAGTATTTAACTTGTTTCTTTGGGTTCTTTTCATGTAGTTTCTGTTTGGGGTGGTTTCCTTGGTTTGGGGTGGTATGCTTGCTTTTCAAAATTATCAGACATAAATATGACACTAATACCATCAGAAGGGCAAAAATTGGAAACCCACCCCAGAAAGGACAAAACACCGGAGGAGACACAAAAATGGTGAAAAGCCATCGCCAAAATGCCACATTCTCCACAAAACACGATAGAAGCAGAATAACCCAAACCATAGAAAAAACCGTCAGAATCATTGAGAAGCAGAACCACCCTAAACTGAACACGCAACACAAGGAAAAGCAAAATAACTAGAAACATAACATGTACGCAATATTTGCATATCAGTTTATGCTGGTTTGAGGGTTTCTAATGAATTTGCTTTTTTCTTTGGGTTCTTTTCAAGTAGTATCAGACATAAATATGACACGATACCATCAGAAGCGCAAAAATTGGAATCCCCTCCCAGTAATGACAAGACACCAGTTTAGGGGGTTCTAATAAATTTGCTTCTCAGTATTTTGCTTGTTCACAGGACCACAAGGTGATTGCTGTTAGGTGTCGCCCTCTAGTGGCACCTTTAAAGATATTTATGTATCGCCACTGGATGTAGGCCTCTATTGCACGTGGAAGCTATGCCATGAAGCACACCTTGCAATCAATTTTTATTGACTGGAAACAGAGCAACTGCTGCTTACAGCGTCCCTGGGATCATTTCCCTCTCCTAATATGGTGTTGGCTGCGCTTTTTGCTCTCTTCCACCATGGAGTCCTACATGGAGGCACTTCCGCTGGCTATTTCCGTCTCCTAAAATGGCGCCGGCGACGGTTTCTGCCCTCTTCCAAAATGGAGTCACTTCCGTGGTTATTTTCCTCTCCTAAAATGGCGCCAGCGTCGCTTTCTGCCCTCTTCCAACATGGAGGCACTTCCGCTAGCTTTGTCCTTTCCTAAATTGGCGCCGGCGGCGCTTTCTGCCCTCTTCCAAAATGGACTCACTTCCGTGGTTATTTCCCTCTCCTAAAATGGTGCCGGCGGCGCTTTCTTCCCTCTTCTACTATTCCCTAACATCCGGAGCTCGAAGCAGGGACTGCCCACCCACCGAGCTCGGGGCGCAGGCGCTGGGCTTGCTTCGATCTCCTCCCTGTCCCCGGGGGCTCTTTTAAAAAACCTCTTGCCCCAGCCCCAACGAGGTCATCGTCTCTTCCCGGTACAATGTATAATTTATTACCTTTCTTAAGATAGCTCCTTTTAAGGTCCCAAAATAATCTGCCAGGTGGTCATGGCCAACCTTGATGCTGCTAATGACCTACCATGCTAAATTTTACCAAAGACTAAAGAAAAATGCATTTTAAGAACAGGGGCTAATTTGGAAGCTGTCTTACAAATGGAAAGCTTTCCTTTCCCAGACTTTAGAAGTTTTACGCATGCACACATTAAAAAAAGGTGTTTGATGAATTAATGGTTAAAAAGATAAACATAAAGGTAAAGGGACCCCTGACCATTAGGTCCAGTCGTGGCCGACTCTGGGGTTGCGGCACTCATCTCGCTTTATTGGCCGAGGGAGCCAGCGTACAACTTCCAGGTCATGTGGCCAGCATGACTAAGCCGCTTCTGGCGAACCAGAGCAGCGCACATAAACGCCGTTTACCTTCCCGCCAGAGCGGTACCTATTTATCTACTTGCACTTTGACGTGCTTTCGAACTGCTAGGTTGGCATACAGAGCTGTAAAAGCATTATTTTTTTAAAAAGTGAACAGCCTATATTAAGTATGGGGAAAGGGTAAGGCCAGCAATTGAACCAAACTTTAATTTTCTGGTATTTTTAGCAGTCATTCAAATTGCAGAACTAGGATTCTACGACAGCAGCTCATGCCACAGCTTTGGAATCCATTGTCGTTTCTCAGAATATAGGAAGCTGCCTTATATCAGAACCATTAGTCCATCTAGATCCAAATTGCCAACACTGGCATAAGCTCTCCAGGCAAAAATCATTCCCAGTCCCAAGAGGCCCAGGTGGCCTCAGTAGCACAGAGAGCCTTCTGCCAGCTTCAGTTTGTGGCCCAGCTACGCCCCTATCTGCACAGGGATAGCCTCACTTCTGTGGCCTATACTCTGGTACCCTCTAGGTTGATTTACTGCAACATGTTATACATAAGGCTGTCTTTGGAGACGGTTTGGAAACTTCAGCTGGTGCAATGGCCAGATTGCTCACCAGAACAAGATGGTTTGAGCATATAACACCAATCCTGGCACAGTTGCACTGACTACCGATTAGTTTCCGGGCCCAATTCAAAGTGCTAATGTTGAGCCTTACACGGCTCAGGACCCTTAAGGGCCACTTCTCCCCATACAAACTGATCCAGACCTGCACCGTTCTAGTCTCTGAGGCCCTTCTCTATGCCACTTCTCCCAGAAAGATTTTGAGGGTGGCAACAAGAGAATGGACCTTTTCTATGGTGGGTCCCTGATATGGAATGCTTTCCCCAGAGAAGCTCACCTGGCGCTAATATAATAATTAGAGACCCAAGGGGTGTGTGTGTGTGTGTGTGTGTGTGTGTATATATAGTGCTTCATTGTTTCACTGTTAACTGCATTTCACCTCTTGGATAGAATGCAGAAAGGGAAATATTTGTTTTCTGTGTGAGGTTCATGTGGCCTGCATTTTACAACCTTATGCTCTCTAGGCCGTAAACAAGAAACCCTATCTACCCTGAAAATGGTACAAATGGTCATTAAGGATGTTGTTCTCAGTTCTTTTTTTTCAGGGGTTACTCAAGGATACGCAGTACCTGTAACTCTTTTTTTGTAGTTTAAAATGTGGCACTTACTGTAACAACTTCGTGGTGAGTACATGCACCTATTTTTATAGAAAAAAACACTGGTTCTCATTAGCATCAAAGTGTAAATCCAAGTATCTCCTTGAAATTTTTTGAGATGGCTCAGGGATGAAGGGAAGTGAAATAGGGACTGGAATGTAAACAATACTGATGAAGACCTGGTTGCCAGGCCAATGGTGACAGAAGTGGGACATTTGAGGCCAAAGGCCTGGGCACATGTAGGCCACTGCAAGGTTATTGTGGGGGTGAGGATACCAATAAGGAGCCATGTGTGATTTACTTTTCATGACCTGTAACCTTTCCTGTTGTATGTAGAAGGATGTTTGTTTTAAGAATGTTTAGTTGTTTTTTACGGCTCTTTGTGGGCTGCCTGTATAAGCCTTGTTCTAATTCTCCTCATGGCAGAGGACAACTACGTTAAGTTGATCTCTGCCCTATTGCAATAGTTACAATAAACATTGAGTCCCTCCTGGATGCTGGACTTGAGTTCATTTCCTTAGCTCCATGTTTGATTTAAAGTGTGGTTCCGCTCCTGGGTAGTGAACAAAGTGGTGTAGACATCATTGCATGTCTTTAGACATCAGGTAAAAACATTCCGGTTTACCAAAGTCTATGGCTAGTAAATAATCTATGGCCTGTGAAAGTGCAAGAAAGGACTGCTATGGTTCTTTACTATTAGACTGTTTGTCAGTATGCTTCTTACTATGTTTTAATTCTATAAAACTATGTTTTAAGGACGCGCTGTGGGTTAAACCACAGAGCCTAGGACTTGCCAATCAGAAGGTTGGAGGTTCGAATCCCCGTGACGGGGTGAGCTCCCGTTGCTCGGTCCCTGCTCCTGCCAACCTAGCTGTTCAAAAGCACATCAAAGTGCAAGTAGATAAATAGGTGGGAAGGGAAACGGCGTTTCCATGCACTGCTCTGGTTCGCCAGAAGCGGCTTAGTCATGCTGGCCACATGACCCGGAAGCTGTCTGCGGACAAACGCCGGCTCCCTCGGCCAATAAAGCAAGATGAGCGCTGCAACCCCAGAGTCGGTCACGACTGGACCTAATGGTCTGGGGTCCCTTTACCTTTACTATTAGACTGTTTGTCAGTATGCTTCTTACTATGTTTTTAGTATGTTTTATCATTGATGTTTTGTAATGTGTTCCTAATGTTGTACACCACCCTGAAATCTTCTGCTAAAAGATTATATACAAATTGAATTATTAATATTAATAATAATAATATTTCACTCATGCACTTGCAAAGAGGTTGGATAAAGTTGGCTGGAAGTGCTGTAAAAATGATACATGGAGCAAGAGCAGCAAACAAATGAGAGAAAGGAGGTCAGCTTAGTTCCCATCTGGTTTATAGAAGAATAGAATAGTGGGAAAACATTCCTATTACAGGATAAATAATACATTGAAAAAAGGCAGTTTAGAGCCTGGTTCTTACGCATTCTTATGAGTGAGTTCAGTGAGTCTTCTTCCCAAGAAAGTGGTTTTTGGCTTGTGGTGCTCATCTAGATTAGGAGGAGAGAGCTAAGAACCAGCATTTCTCTTTGAGGAAATTTTGTGTATGTGTTGTGGGCAGGAGGCACCCTCAACCTCGAGACTGATGTGAAGTGCCATAATTTCACCACCAGCAGACAACAAGACAAATAACATATTTGCTGGCAGGAGACAAACTGTAGCAGAACAGAAATGGTGCTGCATGCAACAAATAAGAGGTTAGGATAGAAAACGATACGTAAGCAGCCCAGTCTCACTCTCCCTTTCATACATTGAATCACCTGGGTATGGAGGGGGAAGGGATGCACAGAGCTCATGATCATAATCAATGTAGCCTACATTTATCAATTGAGAGCATAATGAATGTGGTTTGATGATAGGCATGTTAGAAGGTACATTAGTCATCCCAAGCTGACAAAATCCAAAACTGTGATCTAAATTGGATTTATTTATTTATTTACTTACGCAAAGCAAGTAACATGTAAACAAGTTACATAGACTGCCCTATAAATTCACTCTTTGGAAGGCTCTTCAATATACACTGGTAAAACACAATATTAAAAACAGCTCTCTCATTTTGCATTTCATTCTCAGTGTAAATAGAATAGTAGCAAGAAAAATAAATATTTATGGAGCTTTGTAAAAAAAAAAGGTAATACTTACAAAATTATAAAACTATTTCTTATATGAGCAAAAAGAGCGTCTTAGCCTTCTTCCCAATAATCTTCTGTAACAGAAAGCGAATTAAGTGGTGGGGTGAGAAACACTTCACCCTATGCTAGCCAGTTCCTTAGAAATAAAAATAAAACACTAGTAATGCACACTGGAAGGAGGAAGAATAGAGAAAGGATTTTGCCAAGAACCAAGGCAGACCCCCTGTCTCACAAAGGAGGGCTTTCCTTAATCAAGAGCTATCTAGTCCCCCTCCCCAATTACCTGACCCTGGCATAGCCCAAACGTGTTCAAAGTTCATCAGAATCTCTCCCTCTGAAACAAGCTATTTACACCTGCTTCCTGACACTGTGTCACAATGGAACTATTTGGAGGTGGGTCTACCCAAAGGGGCAAGTCACCTCTGTGGCCTGTGAGTCCACCCTCACTCTTTGAGTAAACAAACTGGAGGTGTGCCATGAGAATACTCAGAGTGACGAATCCCAAGACTGAACCGTGGGGCTCTGGGTTTGTTGGTGGTGACCAGCTCCGCATTGTAGTCAGGGGGTCCTGGTGTATAGTTCTTGCTGGAGGAAGCAAACCTTTGGGAGATGCTGTAGGATGGCTGGTGGCACAGGTAAACATCTGGTTCAGGTATGGTATACATTGCCGGGCCAGGCCCTCTCACCAGGTCTTTAGCATAGCCCCACACAGAGGCACTGGATGCCATTGAGAGGCAGGGAGCTGCAGGTTTGACAGGCAGCTTTGGACCCAGTGTCTGTGGAAGGGTGTATTGGTTGGGTGCTGGGTTTGGGCTGCTCACCCAGTAGTGCGTTCGAAGGCCCATAGTGTACGCTGGTGCATTCGACTCTTCAAGTGGGTGTATCTTCTCCACGTAGTACTCATTTGGGGCAGGCGTACAAGATATAACTGCAAGCCAAGAGCAGATAGGAGGTGACACCCCTCACTTGGTGCTCCCCACTGTCGAGCATGTGGATAAACCTGTGGATACATCATATCCTACAGGAGCACAGGAGGAGGCAGGAATGATGGACGTAAAATCTGACAGGTGAGAAACATTGAGGCTTAAAGAGAAGGAGCAATCTGCCGTGCAGGGTTTGTTTGTTTTTTAAGTTGCTGTTTTACTTGCTAATGTTAGGAGTAAAAAACCCCCACTTATTGATCTATTAGTAGATCCCAAGCTGCCATTGATGTATCAATGCCCCCATGTATTTGCTACAATACTCTGCTCCTTCTTGTAGATGACAAGCCTTGCATAGTCTCTCTCTCTCTTTCTCTCTCTAAATTTGAGAATTCTATTTGTTCTTAAGCTGAATCATTTGTAAACTGTTGTGACTTTGAGGATGTTGGAGGAAGAGGCACTATCCTCCTTGCCTTGACTGAAAATCCCCCCCACTTTTAAAAATCATGGCATTGTCCTCCAATCTCCTCTCCTAGCAGCCTTTCCAACTAAGTGCATCACCTGTGGAGTTAAGAGTGCACTGCTATTAATCTCTTCCATGACATCTTCCCTTGCAATTCACTGTCATTTAGTGTTAATTCCATAGGTACCCTCCAGACTACTTCCTAGATTATGACTCTAAAGCAACATGACCCTCTTGTTTTCCCTTATGCTGTTTTTGGTGGCTCTCCTTTCTGTCCGTTCATCAGCCACATGCTCAACATCTTATGGTCCCTTGGCATCAGGAAGATGAGACTTCCAGCGTGATTGACCAGAATGTTGCAACATGATTGCTGGCAGGAGTGAGACCTTGTCAGCATATAACACCTGTGCTCAAAGATCTGCACTGGCTGCTGATTTGCTACCAGGCCAGGTTCAAGGTGTTACTATTGATTTATATAGCACATGGAAGAACCCTTTGCCTAGAGGACTGCCCTCTGTAAAGTAGGACACTTAGACACCCTAATGGTAAAAAGTGTTTTTTCAACCCAGTTGACTTGGTGGAACACCAATCAGGAAAACTATATTTCCCCCAGTTCCTTGAATGCCCCTTTCGAGCAGCCCCACTCGGTCAAGGCCAATAGCTGGAAAGCAATAGGGATCACACACACACACACACACAGAATGAATGGAGGGATGGATGGGCGTCACAGACGCTTTTAAACTACACTTTGATATCAGCCCAGACAATCTCCCACATCAAACAGCCCACTTAGGTAAGGTCTCTGTACATAGCTGGTTTTCCTGTCTGGTTCTTGACACCCCCTACTCAGAAATAATTTTTTTATCAAAGAGTGAATAAACTTTTACAGCCTATGGACAACACTCCCATGCAGTCAACCTTCCAGGGCCTGCAAACCAGTGGGGCTGGGACAAACAGTGAGTGTGGCTGATAAAAAAAGAGGGTGAGGCCACCTGTCTCTTTTTCATATGCTTCTCTCTGTAGTGCCAGATCTAGGGCAGTGCAGGCTGTTCCCCTGCTCAGGGTGCTGAGCCAAGGGGGCATAAAATAATAATAATAATAGTAATAATAATATTGGTAGTAGCAATAGTAATAATAATAGTAGTAGTAATAATAATAATAATAATAATAATAATAATAATAATAATAAATACTTATATTCATGTGGGTACCTACTGAGAAACCCCATTAAAAAGCAACTGTACCAAAAGGAATTACTGTGGAAATAAAATATATTGGGGGAAGTGCCAAATTTTGTCCTCACTTAGAAAACCATATTACCAAAGTCTACCCCTGCTCTCTGTCATTCATACACAAATCCACATGCATGCAGGTAAAAGGTAAAGGACCTCTGGACAGTTACTGTAAGCCCAGTCAAAGGCGTCTATGTGGTGTGGCGCTCATCTTGCTTCAGGCTGAAGGAGCAGACAGCTTTCTGAGTCATGTGGCCAGCATTCTGGTGCAACGCGACACTGTGATAGAAGCTAGAGCGCCATTTACCTTCCCGCCGGAGCAGTACCTATTTATCCACTTGCACAGGTATGCTTTCAAGCTGCTAGATTGGCAGAAGCTGGAACGGAGCAAGGGGAGCTCACCCTGTCTCAGGGATTCGAACCACCAACCTTCTGCTCGGCAAGCCCAAGAGACTCAGTGGTTTAAGGCCACAGCTCCACACATAATGCTCCCACACATCCATTTTCACGCATAACACACCTGCTCATTCATTCACTCACACTCATTCTTTTTCTTTCCCTCTCTTGCATGTTCAGGGATTGATCAACAAGCCTTCTTTGCACAAGGTGAGAAAGAAACATCTTCACCACAAAATTGCACAGATGCCACTCCAGCCCCATCTTGACCATCATAGTATCTCTCATCTTTCAACTTACATGGCCGCTTTCTCTCTTGCACCATGCGGAATGAAACTGGTCTCCATATCCCTAGACGGGAAATGCTTGGGTCCACATAGTAGCAGGGCCCAGGACTCTCCGTGATCGAGATCACTTGCAAAGGAAAGAAGAATTGTCTGCATGAGGCATGGTGTGGATTCTGAGCTATTTAGCTTGGTTGCAATGACTGACTTCCTGTCCGATATCAATTAAAGGCACCCACTAGCTAGATAGCAGTGAATATGTTAAGCTCCGCCCCCCTGGACCTCCATTCCTGTTATCCTTCAACATGGCTTAAGTGTAGATCATCCTCTTCCCACTAAGGTCCGCAGCTGTACAACTGAGAACCCTGATTTTGGTGCAGCCATAATTTTACTATGAAGGGCCCTAAATCAGCAGTATAAGACCCTCCAGCCCTTGCTGGACTATAACTCCTATCATTCTTGACCATGCTGACTGGGGCTGATGGGAGTTGTAGTCAAGAAACAACTACATTAGCAATCTACATGCAGTGCCATTGATCCAGTTGGAATGGAAATTTTGGAAAGCCACCCAGCTCTTGGTCATGGATCACCCAGGTCCCATCAACTGTGGCCCCGATAATTAGAGAGTCCCAAAAACACAGGTTGTCAATCTCTGTTCAAATGTTTTGCCAGTAAATTTAACAGTTGTTTAGCCAGCTTCACCCTGTGGGTCAGTTAATGCTGTTGGGAAAACCCAAATAACACAGAACCTAACTTGTCAGCATCTTACATCTTTCACTGGATTTCACACGCATTGTGTAGGCTGGCTCAGCATACTTGGTGAAGTCATGGTCCTTAATGCCAGTGAGAGGCTGCCTACCATACTTCCCAGGTCCTGGCCCTGCAACAGAACCACAAGGAGGGGGGGATAAAATAATGGGAAGACAACCCGGAACCATTAGCATTTGCAGATTATGAGCTGCCACATTGGGTAATAGTAAAAGGGCAAAATGGAATAATATATTGTGTTGAATAATATATTGAATAATATATTGGGTTGTGGAGCTACAGCTCTCCAGGTGTTGCTGCACTGCAACTCCCATCATCTCTGACCATTGAACCAGACTGGCTGGGGCTGATGGAAGTCCCACAACATACTTTTCTTCTCCCTCTGGTAAAATCTCGCTAGCCTTGGGCCAGGATATTTGCATTGCAATAGGAAGTGAGCATTACAAGGCACCTGAATTCTTCTGTGGCTCGGACTATAATTCAAGCCAGAGAAGATTTCCCATTTTACTCAACCACCTATGCTCTGCCTGTAATCTCCCAACCCCCTTCCTTCATCCCCTTTAAACAAGCGTTACCCTGGTAGGACAACAGCAGTGGTGACATACCAGCCACAGGAAAAGGAAAACAAAAGGGGAAAAAAATATTATTAGCCTGACTCCCTCCTTTGGCAATCTTCACAGAACTCTAGTCCAATGGTTGCCATCAATTTGATTTGAATTAATTTTATAATGAAATGATTTTAGAATGTTGTATTATTTTATTGTTGTTAGCTGCCCTGAGCCCGGCTTCGGCTGGGGAGGGCGGGATATAAATAAAATTTATTATTTATTATTATTTATTAACAAGGAAATATGCACTGTCTCGCATGCTAGCAGTACTCTTGGAAGAAAGTTCTGATGGTGACTGAGAAATGTAGATCAGTTTCCTTCTTTGGTTTCCACAAGAACAAAAAAGGAACCCTGATGGATCAAGCCAGCCAGCCACCGAGTCCAGCATCCTGTTCTCACAGGGGCTAACCAGATGCCAGAGGGTCTTTCAACAATGCTGTTGAACACATCCAGACTGGCAAAGATATGGGTACCTCTATTCCTGATCTCCTTCTCTCTCTTGCCCCATCTATTCCCACAGCTCACCTTTATACTTGGCACTGATGGATGCATACTGCTTCTTGATGGCCGGCACTCTGGCTGGATGCTTAGAGATACCAGAAAGGCAACTAACAGGCTGAGCTGCACCTTTGGCTCTGGAAGTCAGCATTGGAGTGTGCCCACTGCAGTGGGGAGTCGTATGTGTCACCAGTGCTCTGGGGAATGAAAGTAAATGAATGAATGCAAGTCCAACCTGCAATAAAATGTTGCACCATGGAGTGTTGCAGCTCAGGGTTCCAGCTACTCCATTCTACCCCACCCCAAACAGTATTCAATTTCCACTAAGTATGCTAAGTTCACATTGGGCTATTTGGGGAGGGGGGGTGTTCTCCTCTGAGGGATCTTATCCTATCCTATCCTATCCTATCCTATCCTATCCTATCCTATCCTATCCTATCCTATCCATCTTCAAACCTTGCTGTTTTCTCCAGGCTTGCTGAGCCCTCCATCTTGCACAGATGGTGCTGTTTTGGCCACATAAGGACCATAAGTGCTAAAAGAATGGAGATTGCTGCTTGTTTATGTGATTTAAGGGCATGTACCTAGGCCAGGGTAGCCAACATCCCAAGAGCTTGTTGGACTCCAACTCCCATCAGCCCCAGTCACCATGGGATGATGGGAGTTTTAGTCCAACAACAGACAGAGAAGAGCCCCTTTGCAGCCCCTGCACTGTAAGGGCTAAGGGAATGAGGGTGAATCCAGAGGTCTGGGTGCCTTTGTTTATTTAAACCAGGAACGGGAGGCTCAGCCCAGGAGCCACATGCCACCAACCAGACCTCTCTCTCTCTCTGACCATTAGCACTCTCTCCAGGTCACAAGCCTCCCTGCCCCTGCTTTGTGCCCTCTTCAAGTGCTTTTGCCTGGCTGGAATGTGAGATGAAAGCCTCTTGCTTTCCTGGATGAAGATGGGGGCAGGGGTAGGTATAGAAACTTGGGGGGGGGGTGGAGCTGGATTATAGCCTAATGCACAAAGAGTCCCTCCTGTTGCTCCACCCAGTTTTTGTCTCTAACCCCATTCAACACTGGTACATGGCCCTCAGATGGTTATCAAATATGGCCCTTGCACTAAAAAAAAAAGGTTATTGACCCCTGATTTTACTGCCCCCCCAGCCTGCCTTTCAACAACAAGGTCCCCAAGGCAGCTCAGAACAATTTAAAATGAACAACATGGAATGAAATTGCAACCATAAAATATAATTACAAGCAGCTCAAGCAACAGTAGCACAATCCCAAATAGCAGAAGGAAAACAATAGAGATGATTAATAGCAAAATAGCCATGTAGAAAACACACCAAAAGAAACATGCAAGGGGAACCAGCAGGCAGGAGTTGGGGAAATAGTTTCATGTGTGTTGATAGCATTAAGCAAAGCCCCAATAAACAGCGCTTAGTTTAACTATGGAACTCCCTCCCACAGGAGGCAGTGCTGACCACCAACATGGATGGCTTTTAAAGAGGACTGGATAAATTCACAGAGGAGGATAAAGCTATCAGTGACAACTAGTCAGGATGACTATGTCCTGCTTCTGAATACCAGTTGCTGGAAACAGGGGAGGAGAGTGCTTGGATCCTGCTTGCAGGTTTCCCACAGGCATCTGGTTGGTCACTGTGAGAACAGAATGCTGAACTAGATGCCCTTTGGCCAGATCCAACAGATTCTTATGTTCTTACGTTCTTATTTGTTGGCAGCAAAGCACACTCACCATTAATGTGTGGAATTTGCTGCCACAAGACTTGTTGAACCTAGGATAACTCAGTTGGTGCAGCATGGGACTCTTAATCTCAGGGTCATGGGTTCGAGCACCATGTTGGGTAAAAGATTCCTGCATGGCAGGGGGTTGGACTAGATGACACTCATGGGCCTTCCCAACTCTACAGTTCTGTGATTCTATGATGGACGAAAGGCTAGATCAGGGATCTCCAACCTTTTCAGTAACATGCATTTGGGGATCCATTTCTTCATCATTGACCATATATTTGCATGGTGGAAGTATTGGTGGAAGTCCTGACCCACCAGCTGAAGACCTAGATGGCATTGAAGGGGGCATTGAAGGGGGAGTATTTATTTAGCTAGTTGTTTTCTTACATTTATATCCTGCTTATATTTGGCATGAGTAAGCTGCCGCCTGCCCTTTTCCAGGTACCAAAATACTGATTCCAGACATTCCAAGCGTAAGTCTGACCCTTCCTCCCTGGAAAACCACAACTGTGTCCACCCCAATCCCAGAGTCCTTCAGGACAGAGGAGCAGAATGAAGGGAGCACCACCTCCAGAGCATGAGACCAGGCCTGATCCCTCACCCTGAGCACTTTGGAGGGGGTGGGGAATAAAACGTAAATACAGGGCACAAAAACAGTGCCTTTTGTCATCTCCTTGTTAGTGGCATGGTCTGTGGGGCAGCATCTGGAGAATACAAACAATTTCTTCTGTGTCTTTCTAATACTCTGGAAAGTGGCTGCAATGCCACCTTTCTAAGAGAGGTGGCAACTGGCCTTTGCATTGCTATGCTCCCTAACCCTAATCATGCTAATACACAGCAAACAAAGGTTTTAGGATTTCAGTTACCAATCAAAGTAGCAATTGGTTGTGTCAGTCACCCATACCGCTGATGCTGCTTCTCTGGATGGAATGGAAATCTGGATGTAGATTTCAAGTAAGGAGTGGGGATGTTACTCAGCTTTCCAATTCCTCCTCTACCCCCTCCTTTTTGGAACATAAACAATGCCTCATGTTGCAATTCGCTCCCAGGTTGCCCAGGCGATGCTGATGCAAGTGTGGAACCAGACTTGTTTATTTCCATATTACCATGGTTCTGGCAGAATACTCTCCCTCCCTCCCTCTCTCCCTCTCTTTGTGTGCTGCTAATACAAGTCCTCCTTCCTTGCAAGTTACCAGCCACCGGTGGGGTGGGGGGTGGGGAGAGAGAGCCACAACCCCAAAATACCACACTTCGTTTCATAAGACCCATGGGCATAGCTAAGGGGGGGGGACAGAGGGCAGCTGCTCCCTATCAAATAAAACAATAGAAATACTTAACTGACCAATCATGTCAGTTCTGCCCCGCTAACAAAAGTCCTCGCTATGCCCATGCTAAGACCATGTTCCCCATTCCTTTGCCTTCATATGATATAGTATTCATTTATTTTTTGTTCCATTTTTTTGTTTTATTTGCAGCATTTGTATTCTAACCTCCCCCCACTCCCAGGAGCTCAGAGAAGGGGGTTTGCACAGACTGCCTGGGCAACAATGACCACATCCCAGATAAAATGAAACAAAAAGTCCAGAAAGCATAAAAAAATGAACCCCAAAGCAAAAGAGAATGTGTCTCAATATGAACAGAGGGATGGAGGGGAAATTCAGTTCCCTTAACATGAAACTGACCCAATTCACCCTTCCTTTTTGTGTGTGTGTGTGTGTGTGTGTGTGTGTGGTTTCAGCGTTGGTCCTTCTCTCTCTTTTTTTTTTAATTTTAAAAATCAATTTTATTTCCAGCATACAGTATCTTAAAACCACAAACCTATCCAAAAGAGAAGAAAAAGAAAAAAAAGAAACAACAAATACTAATACATAAATACATTTCTCCAAAAGTACTAATTCATATCATATCCTATCATATCGTCAATCTGACTTCCCTCCACCACGATCTGAGCTATATCACATCCATAACTTTCTTGCAGTTCCTTTTTGCAACCATTATATTAACATCACAGGTTCTATGTTATACCTACTGTTATTTCAATGTTTCCTAAATTTTTTTCCATATATATTATGAATTTATTCCAATCACTAATAAACTTTTTGTTACTCTGATGCCTGATCTTCTGTGTCATTTTTGCTAACTCTAAATACTCAAATAGCTTGTTTTGCCATTCTCTAATTGTTGGAATATTAGATGTTTTCCAATTTTGCGCTAGGAGTATCCTGGCTGCCGCCATTGCATATTGGAACATGGTTTGATCTTCTTTTTTAATCTCCTCACCAACCATTCCCAGAAGGAATGCCTCTGCTTTTTTTGGGAATGTGTATTTCAGGATCTTTTTTAGTTCGTCATAGAACCTCTTCACTTCTTCACACGACCACCACATATGGTGGAAGTCACCCTCCTTTTTTTTACATTTCCAGTATGTTTTGTCCCCGGTTTTATATATCTTTCCTAGTTTCACAGGAGTGATGTACCAACGGTACATCATTTTTTCCATATTCTCTCGGAGTCCTACACAGGCTGTAAATTTCATGTCCTTAGTCCAAAGTTTCACCCATCTATCATAGTCTAGGTCAGTGTTTCCCAACCTTTTTTGGGCAAAGGCACACTTGTTTCATGAAAAAAATCTCGAGGCACACCACCATTACAGCCCCGTGACGTCAGCGCGCAGCGTCACGCCGGGAGGGACGCACGAAAGTGTAAGTTTCAATTTTTCCCCCTCCCCCTTGCCTTCCTTCTGTGCCAACCGCCAAAAAGCCAAGAAAAAAGCCAAGACTTTAGGGCAGCAGGTCGACACGGAAGAAGCTCCTACCTAAGGACAGGTGCGACGGCCGTGTCCTCTTCTGCCACACTTGGCAGCCCTGCCTCACGGTCGTGACTCCCACCCTGATTTCTCCCCACAGGTCGAGCGGCACAGGCAGCCCAATGTGTCCAGCCCAGACACAAGCCCCGCTTCCCCACTCTAGATCCTGAACGCGACCAAGTGCTCTGGACTCCCGAGCAGGGTGGGAAAGAGGACTCGCATCTGGTAGCCTCCGGGCTCCTCGCCTGCTTGAGGGATGGCATTGCAGGCAAGCTGCCGGCCGTCGCCATCGCTGCCCCCTCATGCGAGTGGACCTGCCCGGAGTGGTGGGCCGGGGGAGGCTCGCTCTCTGTGGGGATGTGGCCCCGCTTCCTCCTGCCCAGGGCTGAGCTCCTTACCCGCGATCTCGGTCTCGCGCACGCGGATCCCACTTATTCCGAAGCTCGCGCCACTAGCCGGGGCTCTCACACCGTGCCAGGGTGAGGCGGCGCGGTCCACTGACGTCATCGTGGCTCGCCACCGCCCTCGACTTCCCTGTTCCCTCCCCTCCCTCGGGTCGCCGTGGTTACCGAGGACTGCAAGCTGCTCGGGCGAGCGTGGGGCATTAAGTGGGAGAAGGAAAATTAAAATTAAAACTCGCCTGAAGGCCGCCTCTCCGGATATCTTTCGAATTTTTAAATTTTTCCCGCGGCACACCAGGCAACGTCTCGCGGCACACTAGTGTGCCGCGGAACACCGGTTGGGAAACACTGGTCTAGGTTATATCCCAAAGACGAAATTAATTCGTTCCGCAAGTCTCTTCGTCTTGCGGTTTTTTCGTCTTGCGATGCACGGTTTCCCATAGGAATGCATTGAAAATCAATTAATGCGTTCCTAGGGAAACCGCCTTCAGACCAGGTCCGGGGACAGTCTGTCCCCGGACCTCTTCTGAAGGCTGGGGGGGGGGAACAAGGGCTTTTCTTCCCACCCCCAGCATTTTAAAAAACCCTGGGACAGCGGAGGACTTCTCCGCTGTCCGGGGCGATCTTAAAATGCTGGCAGGCGGCATTTTAAAATCGCCCCGGACAGCGGAGGACTTCTCCGCTGTCCGGGGCGATTTAAAAGCCCCTGGGAAGGCAGGCAGGGGGGACAAAGACTTTCGCCCCCTGCCCGCCTTCAGAAGGTGTTCCCGCCCCCCGCCCCGCTTCGGAACAGCTTTCCGAAGTGGGGCGGCTGGGGCAGGTGTCCCCGCCCCCCCTCCCCGCTTCGGAACAGCTTTCCGAAGTGGGGCGGCTGGGGCAGGTGTCCCCGCCCCCCGCCCCGCTTCGGAACAGCTTTCCGAAGTGGGGCGGCTGGGGCAGGTGTCCCCGCCCCCCCTCCCCGCTTCGGAACAGGTTTCCAAAGTGGGGCGGCTGGGGCAGGTGTCCCCGCCCCCCCTCCCCGCTTCGGAACAGCTTTCCGAAGTGGGGCGGCTGGGGCAGGTGTCCCCGCCCCCCCTCCCCGCTTCGGAACAGCTTTCCGAAGTGGGGCGGCTGGGGCAGGTGTCCCCGCCCCCCCTCCCCACTTCGGAACAGCTTTCCGAAGTGGGGCGGCTGGGGCAGGTGTCCCCGCCCCCCCCACTTCGGAACAGCTTTCCGAAGTGGGGCGGCTGGGGCAGGTGTCCCCGCCCCCCCTCCCCTCTTCGGAACAGCTTTCCGAACTGGGGCGGCTGGGGCAGATGTCCCCGCCCCCCCCTCTTCGGAACAGCTTTCCGAAGTGGGGCGGCTGGGGCAGATGTCCCCGCCCCCCCTCCCCGCTTCGGAACAGCTTTCCGAAGTGGGGCGGCTGGGGCAGATGTCCCCGCCCCCCCTCCCCGCTTCGGAACAGCTTTCCGAAGTGGGGCGGCTGGGGCAGGTGTCCCCGCCCCCCCTCCCCGCTTCGGAACAGCTTTCCGAAGTGGGGCGGCTGGGGCAGGTGTCCCCGCCCCCCCTCCCCGCTTCGGAACAGCTTTCCGAAGTGGGGCGGCTGGGGCAGGTGTCCCCGCCCCCCCTCCCCGCTTCGGAACAGCTTTCCGAAGTGGGGCGGCTGGGGCAGGTGTCCCCGCCCCCCCTCCCCGCTTCGGAACAGCTTTCCGAAGTGGGGCGGCTGGGGCAGGTGTCCCCGCCCCCCCTCCCCGCTTCGGAACAGCTTTCCGAAGTGGGGCGGCTGGGGCAGGTGTCCCCGCCCCCCTCCCCGCTTCGGAACAGCTTTCCGAAGTGGGGCGGCTGGGGCAGGTGTCCCGCCCCCCCTCCCCGCTTCGGAACAGCTTTCCGAAGTGGGGCGGCTGGGGCAGGTGTCCCGCCCCCCCTCCCCGCTTCGGAACAGCTTTCCGAAGTGGGGCGGCTGGGGCAGGTGTCCCCGCCCCCCTCCCCGCTTCGGAACAGCTTTCCGAAGTGGGGCGGCTGGGGCAGATGTCCCCGCCCCCCCTCCCCGCTTCGGAACAGCTTTCCGAAGTGGGGCGGCTGGGGCAGATGTCCCCGCCCCCCCTCCCCGCTTCGGAACAGCTTTCCGAAGTGGGGCGGCTGGGGCAGGTGTCCCCGCCCCCCCTCCCCACTTCGGAACAGCTTTCCGAAGTGGGGCGGCTGGGGCAGATGTCCCCACCCCCCCCTTCGGAACAGCGTTTTAAAATGCTGGGGGTCGGGAGCGAAGCGCTGCCGACCCCCAGCATTTTAAAACCTTCCCGGGACACGGGGAGATTTTAAAATGCAGGGGGTCGGCAGCGCTTCGCTCCCGACCCCCAGCATTTTAAAACCTCCCCGGGACACGGGGAGATTTTAAAATGCTGGGGGTCGGCAGCGCTTCGCTCCCGACCCCCAGCATTTTAAAACCTTCCCGGGACACGGGGAGATTTTAAAATGCTGGTTGTCGGCAGCGCTTCGCTCCCGACCCCCAGCATTTTAAAACCTCCCCGGGACACGGGGAGATTTTAAAATGCTGGGGGTCGGCAGCGCTTCGCTCCTGACCCCCAGCATTTTAAAACCTCCCCGGGACAGGGGGAGATTTTAAAATGCTGGGGGTCGGCAGCTAACGCTTCGCTCCCGACCCCCAGCATTTTAAAATCTCCCCGGGACAGAGACTTCTCTGCTGTCCCTTGGAGATTTTAAAATGCTGGGGGTCGGCAGCGAACGCTTCGCTCCCGCCCGCCAGCATTTTAAGATCGCCCCGGGCAGGCGGGGGGAAGGCAGGCGGGGGGGAGCAAAGACGAAAGTCTT